ACCAGAAAAAAAAAAAAAAAAAACACTGAGTGAATAATCAACTTTAATCTTCAGGGCCAGGAGAAGCTGCTGAAAAATGCTGTGCAAAGAATGAGGCACTGGTACTACCCAGGGAACTAGCTGCAGCCTGTTCTCTCTCTTCCTCTTCTTGCAAAGCCTCCCGATAAGAATCTAAGAAGAAACTGGGGTGAGTTCCTTTTATCTTGGCCACAAACTGCAAAACTTTCATCTTGGTGGTTTCAGCTTTGGCTCTTGGACCCCACAGGAACCCATAGCATGGAGGATCACTGCTAGGAACCTGACGATACTCCAGGTAATTTTCTTGGACCAAATTTTGGAGTAACTTCCTAGGCTCCCCATAAATGAAATGCTCCTTCCCTTCAGACACTTCAATCATATCCAGGAAATCCCAGATGTCTTCCTCAGTGGCAAAGTTCTCCTGTATGAGTATCACACCCAGGATAATTATCAGAAAGCCATTTTTAGGCATGTCCTGGTCATCACTCAGCACCGAATCATAGGTGAGGTTCAGTGAATTAACAAGCATATAGGTGTGGCCAGCGGAGTCCATTTTTCTTACATCAATACCAAAAAACATCTCCAAGCATGAAGAAGCTTTCTCAAAGATTGTGGGGAACCAATGCTTGTACTCTTCGGTGACAACCTGGAGCATTTCTTCTTCTGTGACTGGTTCTTTCATTTGATACTTAAGGATCAGAGCATGCACCAAATCAGTCACCTTTCCCCCTACCAGGGTATCGGCCAGGGATTCGCTATCTGCTGACTGCGAGGAACTTGAACTTGCCCCCATTTCTTCCTCTAACTCCTCATCTAACTTACTATGTGAAATAGAGGAAGGGGAGGACCTCTGAGGACTCTGGGCAGTACTCAGCATACCAGTAGCAGGGCTACCCTCCTTCTCTGGACTATCCAAATTCAGAAGAGAGAAGGATGAGGAAGAGGAGAGAGGAGGAGGAGTGGAGGGAAAAATATTGAAAGAAGCAGAAGAACTGGAGGGCTCCTCCTCCCCCTCAGCTGAGGGAACCACGGTATCCACCAAGTCTTGTGCCTCAGCTGGATCCCAGATGGATTGCTCAAAGTCGAGACGAGGCTTAGGAAAGCGAGGCATGATGGTTCCTACTGGAGGCAGCAACAGAAGACTGAACAAGAATGTGGATAACGGGATCCCACTGGCCTAGGGGAGATAAGGACAGTGTGAATGGCCTCAAATGAAAAACTTACCTGTGATGGCTCCAACAAAAGCCCACTTACAGGTCTTCTCTAGGTGATGTCCTAGAGCCTCACGGGTCTGATGTCTTTCTGGTCAGCCTCTAGGTATCTGTAAGAGTACATAAAAAGCTTCTCAGGATGCAGCATAAGCCTCTGTGGCTGACAATAGAATACATGAATTCAGATGCAGTGGCATCCCCTCTACTCTGGAGGATCAAAATCCTCAAACTTGTGCATCTCACCTGGACTCCTGATGTTTTGGGGGCCTCTTCTGTTCTGTGATTTGAGGACATGTGACTGAGACCAAAGTCCTCAACCCCAGCTCCTGCTTGTTATGACTTGTACCTATGTTCCCCCAAAACTTCATGTGGTCATAGGTGGGGAGGTTCAAAGGTGGCTAGATTAGAGTCTGTGAAATGGATTAAAGTATGCTGTAATGGAAGCCCCACCCTGGGTATGGGTGGAACCAACCAATAAAGCTTGAAGTGTGGATGGAATATAAAGGGTCAGAAAAACAGCAAGCTTGTTGCAGTTGCTCACTGCTTTGGCTGCTTTCTGCTTTTCTGCCCAGCCACGCCATGCAATGTTCCTCCTCTGCCATGCCACCCTATATTGGAATCAGTTAACTATAGGCTGAAACTTCTACAAACTCTGAGCCAAATAAACCTTTCTTCCTTCAACTTTGGATGTCAGGTGTTGTGTCTCAGTGATGAGAAAAATAACCAAGACACTGGTACCTCTCAAAGAGGAACTGAGGGGCTTCTCAAACTGAACACTAAAGGCACAACCCTGGACCCCTCAGAACGAAAAGGCTGAGTCAGACTGCATGGTGCCTACAGTCCTAGAGGGGATGGTCACCCCCATGTTCACTTTTCCTCTTGCATGGCTTGGATTCTACCCCTCTGCTGGACTGAGACAAAGTCCCAGAACACGATCTTGCATGCTGGAGACCAAAAGGAGGAAGTGAGGGAGCACGCCCTCCAACCACACCTGTCCAGGGACTCATGAGGTCACAGTCAGGGCTGGCCAAACTCTAGGGATACCACCCCTTCTAGATGAGAAGCATTTTCATTTGTCACACTGATTCTTGTCAGGGCCTGGGACTCCCCATCTCCTGGCTTTGAGAACAAGCCCTCAGTTCTTTTATACCAACAAGACAGAAGTGAGGGTACACCACACCTGGCTCCTATGCTCCAGGGTGTCAGACCTGATAGCAAGAGCAAGGTATGAATGTGCCTTCTCCCTCTGCTGACCTAATGTGGCTACCCCTAAGACTGTCGCCTCCTCAGACAGGTCCTCACTTCCCTAAGAACAGAGAAAAAATGAGGCAAGAAATCTGGCTATCCCTGCCTGGGCCCTCCACAGCTGACATCAAAGGTGGCACCCTGTCCAGCACTGGGTAGCGTCACCTCCACTGGTGGTGTTCCTCTTTCCCCTTTGCAAAGATTGGGCCATGCACTGCTGACATGACACTGCAATCAGACCAAGGTCTCAACTCTCGGGGACCACCACCTCACCCTTGGAAAAATCAAGGGTGCACTACAACTTGTCTACCTCACCTGACTCTTGCTATGGCTGGGAACAGGAGACAGCCACACTCTGCAGGGTCCCTTCTTTCCAGAGTAAGAGGCACTCTTTACCCATGAGAGTCCTTACCTTGATACTTGATGGAGACTGGAACTCCTCCCTCTGATGACTTGCTGTCACACTGTTAGGCCAAGGCTCTCACTTCCCCGAGACTGTTAAAGCAAAAATGAAGAGATACAACATGCAGTCACTTCTACTCAAGGCTATGTCACATCTGTTCTATTGTTATGGGTTATATGGAGATATCGCCCCC